TGAACGGAATCGGTCCAAGGGATTCTGAGATACGACTTTGGACGGACGCACAGACGCACGGACGGAGACCGAATTATAAGTCCCCGTTTTCGGACTTTGTCCGAACGGGGACTAACAAGGCCAATGATTACAGGGCTTACACACCTTACTGGAAAGGAATCTGTGAATACCTGTCCATGTTGATTTCTCATCTCCACCTGTACAGAGCTTTTCACAGGTTTATGTGGACAAGGGATGGTCACCATATACTGGCCTGGCATGGAGAAGTTCTCACTATGCAGGAATATGCTACCGATCAAAAACTGCAAAAAAACAAACAAAAAACATAAAGACACTGTTATGGCCCTGTTCTTTGGAAACGGTACAGAGGGCACATAATGTAGACAAAGTGTACAAAGAGATTACATGCTAATGCACAAGATATGCATGTCAGTCTGGAATAAATCAACAGAGAAATATCCAGAAATCTCTGAAGTATGTATATAGACTTAAATAGTGATTCATCAGAGGGTATGTGACACAGAAATTGAAAACAAGGAAACCGAATAAAGAAACACAGTTCCCAAACACTTCTAGAAACAGAAAAAATAAAACAACAACAAAGGTTGAACACATCTAAAATTCCATTTATTAATTTCAAAATCACCACACAATATCGCAACATTTAGAATTGGCTGCCACATTGAAGCAAATGTTCAAGTTATGCAATTGAACATGTACAAACAAGATTTATTGCAACATAGTGAGGAAATACAACTCAAGAACTAGCAGACCAACTAAAAGCAGTAAATAGTCTTACATGCCAAAATAAAGAAATCCAAAACATTTGTAAACTTATGGCAACAAAGTTGAAAGCTTTCAAAGCAACTAAGCACAATGTACACCAATAAGGAAGACATGGATAAGTTCACAAATAAATTAGACTAAATAAAAAAATATATATCATATATAAACAAAACAGTGCAACTTAAACATCATCAAATATGCAGAAATACAAGGATATTTTTGACAACTTATCACTGAATACTTATCAGATGAAAAAACAAGCAGCCTCGTGGCCGAGATAGCTCCGCTGTTAGCAATGCACATTTCAATTAAAGAACAGAAGACATCATCACAAAATGAATTAAAGCTGCAAGCAGCATTGGTTGGGTCCAAGCAGAATTGTCAGAAAAGTTATCTACAGATACTCATTAAAATAGGGTTTTGATACCAATAACCCTGCATAATGAAGTGTAAACATGTTAAATATTTCTTTATATTCAACATCAGCATAACCAACATCGGCATAAATGTGGGTGTATTGCTTATGTATATTTACGAGGTAACATGATCATATATGGCCGTTTCTTATGCCAGTTAAATTTTTTTTTTGATGCCTTCATTATGGCACTGGTTACATGTTTTGTTCTGCAACATTGTTACAGATATGACAGTTATGAATATTAATGAGCTCACATGACCATATACGGTCATTTGTTATTTTAATCAAATCTCTTGTTCAACATTGTCATAACACAGGATTCATCTTCCTAACTGCAACAGTGTTTGAAATATAACAGTTATGCATATTAATGCAATTAGAAGCCCCTACCCCATGGGCGCCCAGCCACAGGACCTAGCCATGTGCCATTCAATCGGAAAAACGTATCTCAAGATTAGAATGCACATACAAATTTTCACTCAAATCAAACTAATACAACACATGTACATGTAATTGCCCATGTTTTCACAAAATCCAAGATGGTAGCCAAACCACATGAAGGATCAAAATTGTTATCATTTTTTTCATATAAAGCTATGACTGGACATGTCAAATACATATTTATTTAGTTGATCTGTGGATGTACCTTTTAGAAACAAATGCCTAAACTTTTGGTCAATTTTTCCTACAATCCAAGATGGCGACCAAACCATGTGACTGATCGAAAATATATTATTTTTCTCATGTGTAGCTATGACCAGACATGTCACACATTTTCATTTAGTTGATCTGTGGATGCACCTTTGAGAAACAAATGGTTAAATTTTTGGTAAGTTTTTTGTAAAATCCAAGATGGCGGCCAAACCATGTGACTTATCGAAAATATATTATTTTTCTCATATGCAGCAATGACCAGACATGTTATATACAAAATCTCCAGCACCAATGAGAAAGTAATGCGCTAACTTTTGGTCATTTTTGTTATAATACCGGTACCGTAATACAAAATGGCGGCCAAACCACATGACCAATCAGTTTTTTGAACTCAAACATGAAAGATGGATTATGCCATATTTCATGTCAATTGGTCTGCAACTTTATGAGAAGAAGATTTTTAAAGGATTTAGCCTCGTTTTGGAAAAACAAAATAGCGGCCAAAATCACATAACCTCTAATGTTCTTTTACTCTGTTAAGGATAGGCATGGGCTACAGATGCAACACAAGAAAATTGGACTTCAGACTGCCGC